TGAATTTTCGCTTGATGTTTCTATCTAGGACTTCGTAAGCTTTACGTTGCACTGCTTGTTTAGCGCTCCGTGTTGCATCCTCTTTCGCCTTTCGAATGCGATTTCGGACGCTGCAACCGCTTTTTAACCCTTTCAGACCTCCTATAACACTCACTTTCAGCAGTTCTTGAACGAAGTCACCTCCGTCTTGTGGGTCAGGTTTGAAACGTGTTACTTCCACCGTTCATGCTCGTTTGAAGTGAAGGGTGAATCGTGTTTCCTTCACCAAATTCGGTCAATTCACCTGTTGTCTCTGACACTTGCGTCTCAATAATGTCCAACAGGGCCTTGCGCAACGGAATATATTGAATGTGGAGCGGTTCAAAATAGTGACTTCCATCCCCTGTACGTCGATAATTGACCTCTCGCAATAGATCCGTGACTTGATTTCCAACCATTGAACTTCCCCCCACGTCGGAATAAATGAACAAGAAACGTGATGTCGAACCCACCACGTTTTGAAAGGCTTTGTTGAGATTCGTGAAGCGCCAATCGGAAGTAACGCTCAGATGAAAAAGGTCTTCTGTTATCAGCCAAAAGATAGATTCGCCCTTGTCGTTTTTCAGATCGTGTGTCATCGTTTCTAAATTGGGTACCGTGTCTGTAAAAAACTCTTGACGTAAATTGGGTACCAAGTCATAATTTTCAGGGCCTCTCTCCTTCAACTAACCCATCTTTAAGGCCAACATTTTATTGATCTTCAATGCTGGTGAGTAATTGGAGCTTACGTGTGTCGCTTTGTTATCCGTCAGCAGATCGTCTCCATCTCAACGAACTTTCAGGCACATTCTCTTTCCATCGGATGCTGTATAGCTGCTACCGAGATGGAGTGCTTGGTAATTCAAGATGGGCCGCTGCTCGAAATATGTCACCATACTTTTCATGAAACCAACACCATCAATGTACTCTACCACGGTTCAGAGATCTTTCGGATCATAGTGGGCCCTACCAAACTTTAATGCACCGGAAGGATATTTCATAATCCAATCCATGGTAAACAGGATTTCATTATCGTCGACCAACTTGGGGAGATGCACTTTGACATCTGGTAACGAGATGCTAATCAATCTATCTTTCCAACTCGACCCTTGCAACCTGATGGGGTGGGGTAATCGAATCTTGAAATAATTGCTTTGGTTCTGTGGAAGCTCTGCGCGGTTGCTGTGACTAGGCAAGGTGATGTAAAACTCCTCATTCATCCTCAAAGCTTTTTCACGTCCTTCTTATCAATCCAACTGTGGTATTTATCTGACCAACTGTTCCAACGTACAAGCAATTTATTCCCTTTTCGTTTCAACACTTTTTCCACTCGATACAAATCGTTGTCCGATACGGTGACTTTCTGTAAGTCTTGAAAATAAGGTCCAAAGGTGTGTCATCTATCTCTTTGATTTTGTAAGTGACCACACTTCCAGGGATGACCGTGGATATTATAAACACTTCTTCCGTCCAGCCCGGCAGGTAACCTTTCTTAAAGGTTCTAAACTTCTTATTGAGTCTCACGGGATCATTTACTTTAAACTTTGGCTTGAGACACTTGGCGTTCAAACGTTTGGCGTACAAGTTGTTCCACACCTCTTGTTGATTACTTGCAGTCACTTTGTCGGGGGCCATCTTGATGCTGCGATGATACGATCGATTGTAACCCAAGGCCAAGTCCTATAACACGGTTGAGAACGTCAATGTATTCTTGATGGTAAAATATTGATACAATCTTTCTTTCAAGGTGCGATTGAATCGTTCCACGACGCTGGCTTCGGTGTCTCCACTGGTAGAGAAATGACGAATGTTTTTCCTTTTCATCAAAGCTTGGGAGTGTTTCTTGTCAAATTCTTTGCCGTCGTCCGTTTGAAGATTCTGAGGTTGTCGACCTTGACTCCGTTTCAAAATCTTCTCAAAGGCGATTGTCACGTCTTGGCCACTCTTGGTCTTGACGGGTTCCACCCACCCGTACTTGGAAAACACGTTGACGACTGTCAACAGATATCTGTAACCGCGATTGAATTTGGGAATGTTGATCCTTTCGATCAGATCTGCCACCCATTGTTCGTCGGTACCAAACACCATCACGGCAAGGGTCGGAAAATGTCCTCTTCGGGGTTTGTGCAAGGTATAACCCAAATCATGCTCCAATGTCTCTCGAACTTTTCTGACGGGTAATTTTTGAGCTCCTGCAAAACGAGCCACACCCCCCAAACTAC